ATGAATATCAAAACATTCTTTTAATTAATAAATATCAATTTATCGATTAAATAATACCTGATATACCATGAGTTTACAATATTTTTGATGCATTATACTTGAAGTTTGTGTGAGTCTTGGACATTTTGTTATTAGATATGATGGTACTTTGATGTAATTTTTGCAAGAAATAGGTTTGGAGCAGTTGAGTGAGAAAAGAGCTGAAGTAGCAGAAGTGGCAGTTGACAGAGCCCAATCACAGGCTGCCTTTCAGTCGATGAGCCATAGGTAGAGAGGTATGGATTGTGAGTTCAAGGAACTCTGACCAAGTGTGGAACCACGAAGGCCAATGATGCCCCATAGTATGAACGACGGACCATAGGTCAACTGTTGTTGTTTGATTCAGAAAGTTGAGTTCCAGTAATCACGGAGGAACAGGACGGATTGTAAACTGACCTACGGACCGTAGGTGCTAACCGTCAATTTGAAGACCAAGAAATTTTGCCAATTGCTGAACCACGGAGGAGAACCACAAACCATTGGTTGATCCACGGTCCGTCGTTTGGTGTTGTAGATCGAAACCGCCCCAAACCGGAATTTCCTATATTTTCTTTTCCTAATTGGTTTAGGACTTAGTGTCTATAAATATAAGTTGTATTTTTCATTTTTTGGTTGTTAGAAACTTTGGGACACTTTGTTTTTACTTTGAGGATTATTTTGCAAACATCTTTGACAATTAACTCTCAAAGCTTGGTTTATGATATTTGGGTTTGATTTTCAATTGAGGATTATGGTATTCAATTATTCCAATTGTAAGTTCATGATTTACTTTGTTATCCCTACCATGAATTGTAAATTCTCAAGCATGAGTAGCTAAATCCATAACTAGGGTTGTGGGAATCATAAATAATAAATAATGTATGACTAATAATTAAGTAATTCTAGAATAGCACCGGATGGGATCATGTGGTACCTTGAGATTTAAGCCTCTTCCAACTATTCTTCTCAAAGTTCTTCTAAATTCTGGATCGTAGGGAATCAAGGGATTGCCTTGACTCCGTGTACTTGGCATACACTAGAGGTTAGGCCTGTACAGAACAAAAATAAAACAAGAAAAGCATAAAATCAAGAAATAATTTACTAAAGTTCAATAACGAAGTTAGTCTAATCTAAAGTTGTGTTCCCAGGCAGCGGCGCCAAAATTTGATACGCCTAAATTACACCTCCCAAAAGACTTATAAGCGGTCGTTGTCAAATAAAAAACCTAACATTTAGGTTAGGGTCGATCCCTAGATGAATATGGTTTAGACTTAGGCTAACTTACGATTATCTACGTTTAGTCAGATTATTTTCGAAAAAGGTAACAAAGGAGAGGGGGGTTGTAAACAAAATAGCAGTTTGTTGATTTGTATCAATAAGTAACAAGTAAATAGGATTCGCAGTTTGAGATACTAATATGAGATGAAAACTAGTGTATAAGTGTTACCCCACAAGCTCTTAACGCAATATTTCTAATAATAGTAATTCTATCCTAGTGTTAGCATGCAAGGAAGAAAGGAAAGTCACTAAAATACCTAAATCTACCACACCTTACCCTGAGCCTACATTACAAGCTAAGAAAGCCCTATAGTGATCCTCGTTAACTAGTCTGGAAAGTCAATGTAGTGAAAATAAGGGCAAGCATATGGTATTGAGCACTAACTATATTTGAATTCACTTCTTAGCGTGAGCGTTGACTGAATCCTTAAGCTAAAAATAAGATTTTGTGTGAAGAAAGGATTTCTTTGTGGTTAGGGCACTAGTTACATTATTGGAAAGTTAGTATCTTGGTGATTGTTGATTGTGTATGTGATGATATATGTTGGTCTATCTATGTCATGTTTTGATCCACATGAGTTAATTTATTGAATCTAAATGAGAAGATTTGCAGTGCATGAAAGAGTTGATAGAGAAAGCCATATGATTGCTTGAGTTTGTGTGTTTGCTTTTGCGTAAGTGTCATTTAGAGTTTAGTGTGTTCCTTGAGAACAAACAATAATTTTAAGTTGATGGTGTTGATATACCGTGAGTTTACGGTATTTTTAATGCATTATACTTGAAGTTTGTGTGAGTCTTGGGCAATTTGTTATTAGATATGATGGCACTTTGATGTAAATTTTGCAGGAAATAGGTTTGGAGCAGTTGAGTGAGAAAAAAGCTGAAGTAGCGGAAGTGGCAGTTGACGGAGCCCAACCACGGGCCATCGTTTAGTTGACGAGCCGTAGGTAGAGATTCATGGATCATGAGTTCAAGGAAGTCTGACCAAGTGTGGAACCACGGAGGCAACCGACGCCCCGTAATATGACTGACGGACGGACCATAGGTCAACTGTCGTCGTTTGATTTAGAAAGTTGAGTTCTAGTACTTGAACCACAGAGTTGACCTACGGACCGTAGGTGATGACCATTGATTTGAAGACCAAGAATTTTTGCCAACTGTTGAACCACGGAGGAGAACGACAGACCGTTGGCTGATCCACGGTCCATCGTTTGTTGTTGTCGATCAAAACCACCCCAAATTGGAATTTCCTATATTTTCTTTTCCTAATTTGTTTAGGACTTAGTGTCTATAAATATAAGTTGTATTTTTCATTTTTGGGTTGTTAGACACTTTGGGATGCTTTGTTTTTACTTTGAGGATTATTTTACAAACATCTTTGACAATTAATTCTCAAAGCTTGGTTTATGATATTTCGGTTTTATTTTCAATTGAAGATTACGGTATTCAACTATTCCAATTGTAAGTTAATGATTTACATTGTTAACCCTAACATGAATTTTGAATTCTCAAGCATGAGTAGCTAAATCCATAACTAGGATTTTGGGAGCCATGAGCAATTAACAGTGTATGACTAATAATTAAGTAATTCTAGAATAGTGTTATGCATGTATTGTTAATCCTTTCATTTTGAATGCTTTACGGTGGACAACGTTAGAACTCGCCTCGTTCCTATTTGTCGGACCAAGTAAGTAATAAATAAGAAAGGAATAAACAACAGAGATTTGGACGTGTTTAGCCACTATCTAATAGTCTAACCCTAATAATGTGAAGGCTAATCTAGGGTTAAGGGTAAGGGTTAGTAAAGCATACACCCATAGACGGACCAAGTTGCGTGGTGAAATTCCCTATTTGAAGGACCAATCACTTAGGGATACCTAACTTACCAACCTTGCATGCTAACACTAGGATAGAGTTACTATTATTAGGAATACTACGATAAGAGCTTATGGGGAACACTTATGCCCTAGTTTTCATTTCATATTGATATCTCAAACTGCGAATCATGTTTACTTGTTACGTATTGATACAAATCAACAAACTGCTATTTTGTTTACAAACCCTCCCTTCTTTGTTACCTTTTTAAGAAATAATGTGACTAAACATAAATAATCGTAAGCTAGCCTATGTCTGAACCATATTCCTTGAGGAATCGACCCTAACCTAAAAGTGAGGCTTTTTATTTGATAATGATCGCTTATACTTCTTTTGGGAGGTGTAATTTGGGCGTATCAAATTTTGGCGCCGAAGCCGGAGAATACGACTTTTAGATTAGACTAACTTCGTTATTGAACTTTAGTCAATTATTTTCTGATGTTAAGTTTTTTTTTTTTCGTTCTCTACAGGTCTAACTCTAGTGTATGCCAAGTACACGGAGTCAAGGCATTCCTCTGACTCCCTATGATCCGGAATTGTGAAGAACTTTGAGAAGAATGTCTGGAAGAGCCTTAAATCTCGAGGTACCACATGATCCCATCGAAGCGGGTCAATGGGGTGGAGCTAGTTTGCCGCCTCTTAGAGTCTTGATCCTACCCATTCATGTTCAGGGTGATCCACTAGCTAAAAATGCGGAAAGGGTACAAAACCAGCCGGAACCAAAAGTTCCCGATAACTACAGGGTTGACTATGATTTTGTGGAGTCAACTGGTGTTATTGTTCTCCCTCCACTACCTCCAGGACATACTTTTGTGGTGACCAGCAGTATGGATGTTTGCTGGGTTATCTTCGGAGGATCCACATGCCCATATGACTAAGGTTAAAAGTGTATGTATGAGTAGTGTGGGACGATCATACTTAGATGTGGATGTAATAGGCTTAAGAGTATTCCCATTCTCATTGACAAGTGATGCTACTATATGGCTCTCTGAGCTGGCATACAACTAAATCACGACTTTTGACCAGTTGTATAAGGTGTTCATAGAGAATTACTTTCTAGTATCCAAGAAGTTGAATCTCAAGGACAAACTAAAAGAGTATTTCTACAGAGGGTAAGACGACAATGGTAAAGATGTGCTAGATACTATTGTTGGAGGATCTTATGGAGCGTGCACATTTGAGGAGATTGCTGAAAAATTTGAGAAGACTCTAAGAACAATAAGGCATGGAGCACTAGAAAAACAAATACTGGAAGGAGCACGTTTGTTGTCCAAACCGCACCAACTCAATCCAATGATGATATTCGTGAAGAGATGGCCAAATTGAGAACAAAAATTGGCTTGGTGTTGAAATAGGTAAGCGGTAGTTCAGAGAAATTGAATGTTCTGAATTATCAACCTAGAGCCCCACTTGTTGATGAGTATTATTATGAGGAGGATGCGAACTTGGTGAATGATAAGACGGGGGGTTTCCGGACTAACGCCCAAGGATCCAATTCGGAAAATTGGTGCCAAGGTCAAGGAAACCAAGGTCGAAACTATGGTAACTACAACCGTGATGGGAACTTCAATCGCGACAACAACTACAACCAAAATAGTTATGGAAACAAGAATGAGAAGAGTGGACCCTATGTTCCATCTGGTAATAGAGATGTTGGATCGAGTATGACTCGCATTGAAGATATGATGCAAAAGTTGATGAAAAGGTTTGTTGCGACTAATGACAATGTGAAGGAGATGCGTAGTGATTTATCTAGTATCGGTCAAAATGTTGATGCCCATGCAGTGTCGATTAAGAAACTTGAGCAGTAGTTGGGTCAGTTGTCCACAATGGTGAATCCACGTCAGCCAGGAACACTTCCTAGAAACACTATCCAGAATCTGAAAAATGATGGTCATTGTCTGGCAGTCACTACTCGAGGAGGAAAGCAGACTGTAGATTCTCCCATGCCAACTAAAATGGAAAATGCAGAAAAAGATGAGGATGAAATAGAGGCAGTTGAGGGGCCAAAGGATGATACAGAAAAGGATGTTGAGGTGACACAAAAAGTTATCCCTATGCTGATACCTCCACCTCCCTTCCCACAAAGGTTGGTTAAAAAGAATGAAGAATACCGCAGGTTCATAGCTTTGTTGAAACAATTGTCCATAAATGTTCAATTGATGGAAGCACTTGAACAAATTTCAGGGTATAGAAGTTCATGAAGGATCTGGTGACTGAAAAGAGGGTTGTCAATTTTGAAAGTGAAGACAAGTTTCCCCATTGTAGTGTCATTGCTACAAGGTCATTTGTACAGAAGAAAGAGGATCCTGGAGCTTTCACTATTCCCTTTACTATTGGTATATTGCACTTTGCGAAGGCCCTATGTGACTTGGGTGCTAGCATTAACTTGATGTCGTTGTCGATTTATAAAAAGTTGGGTCTAGGGACTCCCAAGCCAACTACAATGTGGTTGCTTATAGCTGATCGAACTGTGAAGAGACCGATTGGAGTTCTCCAAGATGTCCTTGTGAAATTTTAGGCATTCATCTTTCCGGTGGACTTTGTGATACTTGAATGTGAGGTAGATTTTGTGGTCCCCATCATCTTAGGGATACCATTTCTAGCAACTGGGCGTGCTTTGGTTGATATGAAAAGAGGGCAGATGAAGTTTCGATTGAACAATAAAGAAGTAATGTTTAATATTTATAGGTCTATGAAGCATGGAAGCGATCTTGAGTTAGTATCGGACAGAAAGCTAAGTATTGAGCACCAACGAAGAATGATCCCTCGATGCAAGAGGTTGTGAAGAAGGAAATCATCAAGTGGTTAGATATTTGAGTGGTGTATCTTATCGATAATAGTAGCTAGGTTTGCCTAGTTCAGTGTGTGTCAAAGAAAGGAGGAATTACGGTGGTTCCTAATGCTAAGAATGAGCTCATTCCAATGAGGTTAGTGAATGGTTGGAGAGTGTGTATGGATTATCGCAAGTTGAATGCATGGACTGAGAAAGACCACTTTCCAATGTCGTTGATGGACCAAATGTTAAATCATCTCGCTGGAAAGGGTTGGTATTGTTTTCTAGATGGGTATTCGGGCTACAATAAGATTTTCATAGATCCGGAGGACCAAGAGAAGACCATTTTCACTTGCCATTTGCGACTTTTGCATTCAAGAGAATGTCGTTTGGTTTATGTAATGCTCCGGCAACCTTTCAACGTTGCATGATGTCTATATTTTTTGATATGGCGGAGTACATGATAAAGGTATTTATGGATGATTTCTCTATAGTTGGTGATTCATTTGATGATTGTTTGACTCATTTGGCTGAGGTGCTGAAACAGTGTGAAGAGTGCAATATTGTGCTAAATTGGAAAAAATGTCACTTCATGGTGAAACAGGGTATAGTTCTGGGTCATCGAATTTCACAGAAAAGAATTGAGGTTGATCAAGATAAAGTTGAGGTAATAGGAAAGCTGCCACAACCTATCTCTATAAAGGGTGTTAGAAGTTTTCTAGGGCATGCAGGTTTCTACAGGAGTTTCATAAAGGATTTCTCAAAAATTGCACACCCACTGTGCAAACTACTCATAAAAGAGTCCAAGTTTGAGTTTGATGATGTGTTTCTGAGAGCATTTAAGGAGTTAAAAAAGAAGTTGACTTCTTCACCAATAATTATTTCACCAGATTGGGGACAACCGTTTGAAGTAATCTATGATGCTAGTGGGGTATCACTTGGCGTAGTACTGGGATAGAGGCGAGAGAAGATTTTTTATCCTATTTATTATGCGAGCAAGGCGCTGAACATTGCTAAAAAGAGCTATATTGTTACTGAACAAAATTGCTTGTTGTGGTTTTTGCATTTGAGAAGTTTAGATCCTATTTGCTTGGCACTAAAGTCATTGTGCATACTGATCATTCCGCATTGAGGTATCTTATGGCTAAGAAGGATGCAAAACCAAGGCTTATTAGATGAGTATTATTGTTGCAAGAGTTCGACTTTGAGGTGAAAGATAGTAAGGGAACAGAAAATCAAGTCGTTGACCACTTACCCAGATTAGAAGAATAAACTATGATCAAGTTAGAAGATAGAGTTGAAATTAATGATGTATTCCCTAATGAACATGTATTGGCTGCTTCTTATGAACCTATTCCTTGGTTCGCTAACTTTGATAACTATTTGGCAAGTCATTTGATGCCTTCAAATCTGTCATTTCACCAAAGGAGAAAAATCATGTCTGATGTGAAGAAATTCTTTTGGGAAGAGCCTTACTTGTTTCATATTTGTGTAGATGGGATTATTCATCAATGTGTGCCTGAGGTTGAGATGATGAGTATACTAGAGGTGTGTTATTCATCCCCTGTGGATAGGCACCTTAGTGGTATCCGGACTGCTCATAAAATCTTGCAGTGTCGTATTACTGGCCTACTATCCACCAAGATACTCATGACTTCGCCAAGTCTTGTGATCATTGTCAAAGAGAAGGAGGAATTTCAAGGAAGCAAGAACTACCAATGAACCCGATATTAGTGATTGAGTTGTTTGATGTTTGGGATCTTGAATTCATGGGTCAGTTTGTGAGTTCGAATGGGATGAAGTATATTATTGTAGCGGTTGACTATGTATCTAAATGAGTGGAAGCAATTGCACTTTCAAACAATGAAGGAAAGAGTGTCACCGCGTTACTGAAAAAGAATATCTTCTCTAGATTTGGTACACCAAGGGCAATCATCAGCGATGGAGATTCTCACTTTTGTAATAAGTTTTTCAAGGCGTTGCTTGAGAAGTATGGTTTTCATCACATCGTAGCAACTCCATACCATCCGCATTTTAGTGGGCAAGTTGAAGTGACGATTAGAGAGATAATGCAAATTCTTGCCAAGATTGTGAATGACAACAGAACTGACTGGTCAAGAAGGCTTGATGATGTTCTATGGGCTTATCACATTGCATTCAAAACTCCCATAGGTATGTCCCCCTACCAACTTGTATATGGGAAGTCTTGTCATTTGTCTATAGAGTTAGAGCACAAAGTAATCTGGGCACTCAAAGAGCTGAACTTGGATAGGGGCAGTGCATCAAGTCAAAGATTGAATGAGATGAATGAGCTCGATGAGTTTTGCCTGAAGGCATATGAGAGTTCAACCTTGTACAAGGAGAAGATGAATAAGTACCATGATCAAAAGATCAACAAACGATAATTTTCTCCCGGTGAGTTGGTACTCTTATTTAACTCAAGGTTGTGGTTGTTCCCTGGCAACCTCAAGTCCAGGTGGACCGGGCCTTTCAAAGTGACTCAAGTATTCCCACATGGAGTGGTTGAACTCGAGAATAATGAAGGAACGAGGTTCAAGGTGAATGATCAACAGATAAAGGTCTACTTGGGGAAGTCTAAAGAAGTCAATAAACTAATATACAAATGGGGTCTTGATGAAGTCTGAGTAATCAAGATGTCTATGTCGTGTCGCAACGTTAAATCAAGCGCTACTTGGGAGGCAACCCAATATGTAATATCTAGCCAATCTTAGGAATGTTTATTTATTTTTATAAACTTTTAGCTTTCTTTTCTTAGATAGAAGTGTAGTTTTTATGTAATTTTTAGAGATTGGCTTGAATAGGATAGAATAGGGTCCGCATCCAAAAAGAGTCAAGAAAATGTAAAAAAAAATGAAGTCCTAATGTCTGCTACGTGTGCAGGAAAGCAAAGGAAAATCTTCAAAAATAAGTTTAGTTTTAAAACCTCTCTCTTGAGCAAGCCAAAAACACAAGGGTAGAATTGCATTTGCAACTAGAATTCTTAAATTAAATCACAATTAATGATTGAACTCACTTCTAAATAGCATTTAAACTAACAATTAACAATACCCATAAACTAAATCAGCCCATAATCACATAATCACACCCCAAGAATTGGAGTTTAAACTAGACATTATAAAAAGGTAAAAAAAATTACCAAATTGATTCTCCATCAACTGGGTAAGTGTAGATTCGTCCTTATAATGCTCCAATTCGAAGAATCTCAAAGACCCACTTCCAATTTCTCAAAAGTGAAAAACTTCAATTCTTCAAAACTTAGGAAAAACTAGAGAAAACTGTCTCACATATTCAAAACTCAATAATAGACTAAAAATATATGAGCTTAGATACTAAACTAAATGTTCAAAAATGTATTTATAGTCGCCAAAAATGTGTTGCGAAGAGTCACTCGGTGAAGTAAGTCGGGCTTGCCGAACCACTCGGCGAGCCGCCCTTTGGTCATTTCCATCGCCTTTCTGCCTTGGCATTCATCATCTTCAAGGTCTGTAACTTTGTGCGATCCAACACTGCATCGCGGAACCACTCGGCGATCCGCCGACTGCACTTTTCTCTCGCCAACTTGGTTTTTTCCTTCTGGGCTTGGCACACTGGAACTTTAGGCGGTCAAGTGGTCATTCGGCAACTCGCCAAGTGGACTTGGCGATCACCAGGCTTTCCTTTCTTCATTCTTTCAGCCTATTTTGTTCCTTTTTGCAAATTAGTGTCCTTGCTTTATTTCTCAATCCATATACCTGGAAATCAAGGGTTTTACATCAGTTATTGGCACAAAATAAGCATTTGAGAACACTAAACCTATATAAATAAAGCCCTAAATGAGTCCAAATCTCGGACTCATCAACACCCCAACTTAAACTTTTGCTTGTCCTCAAGTAAAACTCAAGTTCAGCAATTCAAAAACGATGTCTCAAACAGTGCTACAAATGACTCAATCATGAATGCACACAATAAGACTCAACTTACTCATGCAAGGATCAATTGTGCACTCAAAGATTCAAGTTGTGACTCACCATTATCAAAGATTCTCAAGTTCACAGTACTTGCTTCAAATGCAAGTTCAAGCTCAACAGAGGTACTCAAATGCCCTCACAACAAAGATGATTCCATATTCACACGTAATTTTCAACACTTCATAGCTCTGAAATCACATACAACTCTCACACTCACAAAGATGAACACATGAATGACTTCACCCATAGGTTTGCCCTTATTTTTCAATCAACATTCATTTCAGCTCACTCAAGATCAAAAAGGTCTTTTCAAAGCTTGTAACGGGGCTGAGTGTAAAGGTATGGTCATTTAGGCTCAGTGGCTGCTATCCTCATGAAATTTGGTATGAACATCACTTTCTTTCCTTTTCTTCAACATTTTCACTCATGCTCAAAATTCACCCCATTATTCACTTCTCATGGAATACCGGACACCCTATTTCTTTTGCAACTTTCACAACTTTATTTCACAACTTTTTCATTCTTTTTCTTTTTATTTCTTCTTTTCTTTCTCTTTTTTTTTTTTTGTATGGAGGGGTTCCATCTTTTTCAAATCCATGGATCAAGGCAGACTTCTTCACACTTCTTGATTTTCGTCCTCCTTTCACCACACCCCCAACTTAGGCTTTCAACCTAAGTTGGTTATTCAACCGCACCACACTTCATGAGGATTATGGGTGAATGAAAATATATACACATAATAGTCACAAGAGGTAGGTATGAAAATACCTCACCCCA